CTCAGTGTCGCGCCCGTACTGGACCGGGACCGGCAACGGGATCGCAACCCTCGGTGTTGCACCCGCACCTCGCTCAGCCATTGAGCGGGAACCAGTCTGTATGTGGGATCCGAACCCTCGGCGGGAGCGCGCCGCCACGCTCCCAAGCGGCGCACTGTAGCAGTGCGCCACCGGGCCGGCCCCAGATGTGAAGGACTTTGGACTTTGGACTTCCTAGCCTCCAAAACTGTAAGCAATAAATTTCATTTTCTTATAAATCACATAGTTCTGTGTATTTTGTTATAAGCAACAGAAACAGACTAATACGGGGGTGGGGGAGGGGGAACATTCAATTCACCGCAGCAATTAAACAATAAAAAGAAATAAAAGTCACCCAAGTTGGAAAGGAAGAAATAAATTATCTGTTCGCATATGATACGATTTTATATGCAAAAAGCCCTAAAGATTCCACACAAAATACTGTTAGACCTATTAAATGTATTCAGCAAAGTAGCAGGATACAAACTCAACACACAAGATGAGGTGCATTTCTATAGATTAACAATGAACAATCTGAAAAAGAAATTACAAAAACAATTTCATTTGCAATACAACAAAAACAATAAAATACTTAGAAATTAACTTAACCAAGAAAGTAAAAGACTTGTGCAATGAAATAAATTAAAGACTGAAATAAGTAGAAATATATCCCATTTTCATGGATTGAAATACGTAATATTGCCAAGATGTCAATATTACCCAAAGTGATCTACTGATTCAATGCAATTCCTATCAAAATCCCAATGGTGTTTCTTGTATAAATAGAAAAACCCATATCAGAAAAACCCATGTAAAATTCATATCTCAAGGGACCCAGAATAGTCAGAACAATCTTGAAAAAGAACAAAGATGGAAGAATCACACTTCTTGATTTCAAAACTTACTACAAAGCTACAGTAATCAAAGCAGTGTGGCAGTGGCATAAAACCAGACATATAGACCAAGGAAATAGGACAGCCCAGAAATGAACATAGATGATCAAATGATTTTTTATAATGATGCTAAGACCATTCAATGGGGAAAGGACAGTCTTTTCAACAAACAGCTCTGGGAAAACTGGATATCCACATGCAAAAGAATGATGTTGACCCTTACCTGACACCATATATGAGGGTACTTCAAACAGTGAATGGAAAGATTTATATTATTTTCTAATTCTATTTTTCCATTAACTGTTTAAAGTACCCTTGTACAAAAATTAACTGAAAATGGATAAAAGTCTTAAATGTAAGACCTAAAACTATAAAACTCTTGGTAAAAACTTATGGAAAAAGCCTCATGACATTGTACTTTGCAATGATTGCTTGCATATGACACAAAAGGCACTGGCAACAAAAGAAAAAAATAGACAAATTGGACTTTGTAAAAATTTTCAAAATTTGTCCATCAAAAACAATGTCAACAGAGTAAAAAGGCAACCCACAGAAAGGGAGAAAATATTTTCAAATCATATATTTATCAAGGAATTAATATCCAGAATATATAGAGAATTCCTAAAACTCAATAACAATAAACAACCCAATTAAAAATCAGCAATGAACTTGAATAGACATTTCTCCAATAAAGATAAACAAATGGCTAATAAGCAAATGAAAAGATGCTCAACACCATCAGTCATTAAGGAAACACAAATCACATCTGCAATGAGATACACCTCCTACCCATTAGGATGGCTACTATAACAAACAAGCAAACACGGGCCAGCCCGGTGGCGCACTGCTACAGTGCGCCGCTTGGGAGTGCGGCGGTGCTCCCACTGAGGGTTCGGATCCCACATACAGACTGGTTCCCGCTCACTGGCTGAGCGAGGTGCGGGCGCAGCACCGAGGGTTGCGATCCCGTTGCCGGTCCCGGTCCGGTACGGGCACGACACTGAGGGTTGCGATCCGTTGCCGGACACGAAAAAAGACAAAAAGGAAAAAAAAAAAAAAGAAAATAACAAGTGTTGGAGTGGATGTGGAGAGATTGGAACCCTGGTACACAGTTGGTGGGAATGTAAAATGGTACAGTCCCTGTGGAAATCAATATGGAGATTTCTCAAAAAATTAAAAATAGAATTACTATATGATCCAACAATTCCACTTCTGGGTATATACCCATAAGAATTGAAAGCAGGGTCATGGATGGATATTTGCACACCCATGTTCAAAGCACGTGTGTGTGTGTTTGTATAAACATGAGATACAAACAAACATCAAAACACCTAAACAGAGTGATAAACTGGAAGTGCAGGGTATCCGTACTGGCCAGGGAGGGCTGGGTGGTAGAGGCAGGGTACAGGAGGAGCACACAGTTGGTATAAGGTACTGGTAATAGTCTGGGAAAGGTTTTCATCATGCTATAAATTAAAAATAAATAAATAAGAATGGGCCTGCATGGACCTATGGGGAGAGTGCACCGTGACTACGTCCCCGGATCATCATAAGTTTCATCCTGTCTACTTGAGGGCAGATGTGGATACACAGATGGGTGCATGTGTGAGAAATGCCCCCTCTACTCATGCTGATGTCTCTGGAAGCCCTGATGTGGCAGGAATATTTACAGGTGTTCTACCCTGGAGGGGACGTGAGGGATATGTGAGTTTCTCGTGAAGGTGCTACGTGGAAGAAGAATAAACTCACTCATTCAGGCTCCAGAGAACACAAGTGGAACTGATGGCTAATAGTGGATATTGGCACAGAAATGCAGGAGGAGCATGCTGACAAGGGAGCTACAAGAGCCAGAGGTCCTTTATCCTCCAAGAGAGGGGCTGGCTTTCCAGCCTGGGGACACAGAGGGGTCCTTTAGGACCTTTCTGGTTTCCTGTCTCAGAAAGGTGGGGCAACTTTAAGACTTTCTGGTGTGCTAAAATATGAAAATGAGTCAGGGTAAAAGGTGGAGGGGGATTATTCTAAATGGGAAGTAATAAGAGGTAGAACTCTTGTGTACGTTGTGGTACATGTTTTTGTTTTCTATTTTTATTGGTGGACAGGAAAGCTTTCCCCACTCTATTTATTAAGTTGGCCACTAATCACATAGTGACCTGTGACATTTTCTGCCTTGCTGTTGAATACTTCAAGTGAAGATGCCTCATTTTTCCAATTAAAATGCAAACTTATTAAAATAAAGAATTATTTTATCCCCCTTTGCATCTTCCACAGTGCTTTTCATAGGAGCTCCATGTGGGTGTTCATTGGCTGGTTGCCATGGGGTTGGGTGGACTCACTCACTCACTAATTCATCCATTCAACAGCTCTTTATGAATAAGTGCATATCATGTTGTGAGGCATGTACAGTGTGGGTTTGAGATAGGAGGTGCTCATTTTCCCTGAAGGTAGGTCTCTGGCCACTCCCCTGAGTCTCAACCCACTCCCCAGGGTCTCAGGCCACTCCTCTGGGTCCCAGTTACTGTAGTGTGTTGCACCTATTTTCAGCACCAACACTGGGAGATTGAAACCACCAGAGGCAAATTTGGTCAATTTCAGTGGTTGAGCATGCTCAGTAGAAAGGAATTTGGTCTTGAATGACCTTCCACTGGAGGCACTAGAGAGTACTAAGTGTATTTTAAGTATACTATGTGTATATGCAGGAATTTGAGTACTGAGCATATGCAAAAAGGAACAAACAGCATGTGTGGGACAGGAATTACATAAGAGTTCCCTAACAGGGAACCATCCCCTTAGTTGCATATTCACGGGTAGCATGAATGTGTTTAGATAGCCAATCATAAAAGCTGGAAGCCAGGATAAAAAAGTGGGACAGCAACTCACTTGAGTCAGCCTGCACTTTTTTTTTTTAAAAGATGACCGGTAAGGGGATCTCAACCCTTGGCTTGGTGTTGTCAGCACCATGCTCAGCCAGTGAGCAAACCGGCCATCCCTATACAGGATCCGAACCCGCGGCCTTGGTGTTATCAGCACCGCACTCACGGGCCGGCCCAGCAGCCTGCACTTTTGACTGTGAAATGTGTATTCCCTACGCTTTCTGTTAAACTTGTTTTTGCTTTCTGCTCTGATTCTGCCCTTGAATTATTTCCTGCAGTGGAGTCAAGAACCTGGTAGGGGACAGGGTGAAAAGGTCAGTGATCCGACTTCCCCAGACCCTCTTCTCCAGTAACAGGTTGGAAGTGCTTTTGCCCCATTCACTGAGGGCCAAGTGCCAGGGTCCATCTTCAGTACCCCTGTTGCCTTATTCCCAGATAAAAAGCCGGGAGGATCATGGAGATGCCACATGATGTCTTTACCTGGGTAGATCCTGAAGAATCCAGCTGAGCTGCCAAAATATTGCCAGGTCAATGTTGGGTCTCTTTGGAAGTTCTCCACAAAAACAGGGTTCAAGGCTTCAGACATGTAGACTCCATTTAAAATGTCTGGGTCTGAAGGGTGAGATGATAGAAGAAACTGTAGGAGAAACTAAGTCAGAAGCAACAGTGACCAAATCTTTGTGCACACACACCCTGCAGTGATGAACTTCACAACTTGCTTGGCATCTCATTGGAGAGCCCTACTCACACCCTCTACTCGCAAACACCGAGTTTTTTCCCAGTGCTTGGGGTGTGTAGAATTATTTCTTTTCTCACCCCCCATCAAGGAGGTTGGGGAGAGAGTTTATGATGCTGCAGTGCTTCTCCGGAAAACAGAGAAAAAATCAGGAAAACCCACCAGCCTCGCTACCCCCGGCCCCCAGCCCCCTGCAGGACAGGCGGTCACCTTTGTTGTACACGTTGGTGGGCAGCTGCACGCTGCTCAGGGAGGTGTTCACCCTCAGGTTGCTGAAGTGCGCGTTGGACTCGAGGACAAACTCGGCTCCCAGCTCCACGTAGTCGCCCTTCTCGTTCCTCTCGTTGATCAGGACCGAGTTGTAATAGTCAAACTGGGGCGGAGGCAGCCCAGCCGAGCAGAGCGGGGGAGTGGGGGAAAGAGAGCAGTGGGTCAGAGGCCTGGGGGGACAGTCAGGGTGACTCGGGCCACAACAACACATCTGCAGATCACCAGAGGCACAACTGCCTGGGTCAGCTTGCTGCCAAATGTCCTGATCACTGCATCAGCTCCCCACCTCGTTTAGTGCATAAGGACGCAGCCAGAGATGGGGACAGACAGGCAGACGTAACGGCATGGAGAGACGCAGGGACACCAACACCTCAGGAGCACCACCCATTTCTTCCAGGGTGCAAGGGGTCCTCGAGGCACTTAATGGCACCTCAGGCAGGGCCCATGGCCCTGTGGATCCAGCTTCCTGCTGTCTTGGGCAGAGGCAGTGCAGGGTCTGCAGGGATCTCCACCCGCAGGGTCAGAATCAGAGCCTCTTCCCGGTTCCCTGTGCATGGCCGCGTCCACACCCTGGGCACTCCCAGTGGGACTGTCCCCCACCTAAGGACCCCCACTGAGCTCCACGTCCCTTCCAGCCTGCCTGTACTAGTCACCCTCTGCTGCAGACAGGCCAGACTCCTCCCCTGGCACTCAAGGCCCCACCACATCCCCCTATCTACCTTTCCAGGGTGGGTTTCTGCTTCATCATCCTCTGGACACACAGAGCTGAGCCCCCAGCTGTCCCCAACCAGCCTTGAGTTTTCTTATTCCTGTGTCTGCCCTTTTTCCTCAGCCCAGAAACCCCTTCCCCGTGCCTGGCCTGCCCAGCCCCCAGTCCTCAGGACCCCCCGTCTGCAGGAGTTCCTGCGCCCCTTCTCCATTCTGCACTCTCCTGACCTCCACTGGCCATTCCATGGCCCGTTGCATGCCTTATATTGGCATTATTTGGCCTGTGAGCTTCCTGAGGTCAAGTATATGCTCAGCTCCAGAGGCCAGCAGGGCTTTGCCATGGGTGCATGAGTGACATGCATCTATCGAATGAGTGGATGGCCGCCCCCATCCCGTCCTCAGGCTACCCTGGCCCTGAGGGCTGGTGCATAGTCGCTTCTCCCTCCCAGCACCAGCTCTAGGAACGGGACTCACCACGAGGGACTTGTTGAATTCATGCCGCAGGTCAGCCTCCTCTGCAGCCTCCACCAGGCTCTGAGGGACGGGGCACAAAGGGCAAAATCAAGGGTAAGGAGGCCAGTGGGTCCTTGGTGACTGCAGCACAGAGTCACCATGTGGCCCAGCAATCCCACGTCTAGGTATGTACCCACAACAGGGACACAAACAAGAACTTAGGCCCCACATTCACAGCAGCCAAGAGCTAGAAGCATGTCGCTGAGTGAAAGAAGGCAGTCTGAAGAGAGTACGCACTGGACGGTTCCAGCTCCACGACGTTCTGGAACAGGCAGAACTAGAGAAGGTAAGAAGACAAGCGGCTGCAAGTGGCTGGGGATTTTTAGGGCCCTGAAACGCTTCTGTGTGATACTACTGTAATGGCAGATACATGTCATTACACGTGTGTCAAAACCCACAGAATGTACAATGCCAAGAGTGAACCCTAATGCAGGCTGTGCACTTTGGGTGACAGTGCTGTGTCAGCGCAGGCTCACTGGTTGTCACACACGCACCACTCTTGTGGCAGATGCTGATACGGTGGAGGTGTGGGGGGGCGGGCAGAGGGTATACGGAACTCTCTCTACTTTCTGCTCGATTTTCCTGTGAACCTAAAACCGCTCTAAAAAATAAAGTCTGTTAAAATGTGTGTGTGTGTGTGTGTGCGTGTGTGTGTGTATTCAAAGCCAAAAGGTGGAAACAACCCAAATGTCCATCAACAGATGAATGGATAAACTAAATGTGGGCTATACATACCATGAGATATTATTCAGCCTTAGAAAGGAATGAAGGTCTGATACGTGTTACAACATGGGTGGACCTTGAAGATACTATGCGAAGTGAAATAAGTGGATAAAAAGGTCACATGTCGTATGATTCCATTTATGTGAAATATCCAGAATAGGCAAATCCATAGAAAGAAAGCAGATTGGTAGTTGCCAGGGGCTGGGAGAAGGGGGAATGGGGGTGTACAATTGTTTAATGGGTGCAGGGTTTCTGTTTGGGGTGATGAGAAAGTTCTGGAACTAGGTGTGGTGATGGTTGTACAACATTGTAATGTACTGAATGCAGTGAATTGTACACTTTAAAATGGTTAAAATGGTAAATTTTATGTTATGTGTATTTTACCCCAATACAAATTTAAAAAGCAGCAGCAGCAGCACCAGAGCATCAGGGGAGGTAGGGCTGGGAGCCCGGGGCCTGCGCTCCTGTTTCGGGTTTGTGGGGAGGTTGCGGGGCCTCCCGGGCCCTGTCCATACAGCATAAGTTGGGTAGGAGAGTCCCTGCCTCCCTCCAGCCCCCAATTCCTAGAATGTGACAAAGAAATTCCACAGGACAAAAATTACTTCAGTGCTGCTTTGCGGGAAACTTCCCCTGGGCACCCTCACAGGAGGTCTGCGGCCCCCTCAGACCCCCCACACCCAGCAGGGAGCAGGGCCTGGTGTCCATGTTTTCCACGTTTGAGGCTATGGGAAGGGCACAGTGACGCTGGAGCCCAGGAAGCCCACAGCCCCAGCATCGGGGGCTCCCAGGACTGCCTGCTGCTGTAGCCACAGGACAAAGCCCGCAGTGGTGTGTGTCGCGTCCTGTGTCTGTGCTGGACCCAGGCAGGCTGTTTAGACAGCACCTGCTGGGGAAGGAAGCAGGCCTGACTGCCGGTGCTATGTTGTGTGTGAGGGTGCAGTCCTCCTGCTGCGGTGCATGACCCCGGGGCCCAGGAGGGGCTCTTGGGTCCCTGAGTATCCTCTCGTAGGTTCCTGATGCTAAAATCCCTTGCCCCAGGGCCTGGAGAAAAGAGGCTATAGGTTGTAACTCATGGGAAAGAGGCCCCCGTGAGACTGTGATGCTGGATTTCCCCAGAGGTGGGGGGCAGAGAAAGGTGGGAGGCCTGACCCCCGCTGCTCAGTGCAGGCCTCGGCACCTATCCCCAGCCAACCACCTGGCCCATCTCCTCTCTTTTTGTCTCCTGGCTCCCCAAAGGGCATGGCTGGCCCGAGAGTCCTTTCAGGGGCCACACTGGTCTTGGGTGGTGCGAGTCCTGGCTCTCTAACCACACTGTATCTACTGGTTCGCATCACTCAGGTCCCCACAGGCTTCTGGGTAGACACTTCACACCAGGGAAGGACACATTCTGTTTCTACCAGACCCCGCCAGGCTCAGTGGCTGTCCAGTGATGGAGTCACCTGAGCACAGGGCCCATCAGTGAACACCTCTGCTGCCCACATGGCCCTCAGAGCCCTCAGGGACTATGAAGGGTGGTTCTTATGGCTGCAGGGGGGAGGGAGAGGAGGAAAGGGGAGAGGAGAGGCAGGGAGCCTTGCTTTGGGGCTCTCCATCTAGGGGTGCTCCTGTCTACCCCCTGCCGTCTGCCCACCCTTCGCTCAGTCAGTGATGCCAGATGTTCTCTCCAAAGCCCGCTCTACGCCAGTCACTGAGCACGACCTCATGACTGCAAGTCCCTCTTAACACTGTAGGTTGCTCCTACTGCACAGGGCGGTGCCCCCTGAGGCCGGGCTCCAGTCCCAGCCCTCTGCCCCTCCTCTTGCTCCCCATCACTCCCTCCTCGACAAGGATTCTTTTGCCTAATGAAGGTGCAGACAGAGCCCTTAAGGTAGGAGAGGGTCCTGGGGGTGGGACGATGCAGCACCGTGACACTGGCAGGGGCTGTCCAGCAGTCATGGGGCCGGGGAGAGATCCCCTCACAGGTCCCAGGGCCTGGAGTACCTTGACGGCCTCCACTTTCCTCCGCAGCATGTTCTCCATGTCCTCTGAGAACCTCTTCACCAGCTCCAGGCCATCCACCTCCTCGATCTTCAGACTGGGCTCCACGTCCTTGTATTTCTGATCAGGCGAAAGTGGGTGAGTGGGGTGGCACACCTCGTTTTGTGCCAGGATGTCTGCACCTGCTCAGGCACAGCCTCCGTCCCTTCAACAATGCGTTGACTGCACGAAGAGGTGAGGCCAGCCCTCTCCTCCCTGCACAGTCTCCCAGCAATAGCGGCAGTGACTCTTTCAAATGTCCTCTGCCTTGGGGCTCTAGACACACTGCGGTTAATACCCTTACAGGGAGAGTAGACCGAGGCTCAGAGAAGTCAACGAACTTGACCCGTCAACAGCCAGTGAGCAGGGACCCTGTGCGGGGCCAGCTTCCACGCCTGCGTTCCCCGTGCAGGCTCATGCTGCTTCCTGGGGCCTGCTCACACCGACTGTGAAGCTACCCTGAACCAGCTTATCTTTCCCCAGCGCACTATAAGATGCCTGCCATATCGGTGTGGCCCTGCGCACATCGGCATGAGCCTGCATCCCCACTGTCCAGACAGAGCTCAGCAGCTGAGGCGCTGAGGACAGCTGCCTCGTATGCGGCCCGTGGGCCAGAGGAGCCCCGAGGACAGGCTTTCCAGCTCACTCTCCAGCCTGGGGAGACCATCCCCCACTGAGTGTGCATATCACAAACGTCTATGACCCAGCACCGCAACCTGCTGGTGGGATCTCAGGCAAGTCACTTGCTCAGTTTCCTCATCTGTAGGATGTGACCTTCACGTAACTTTAGCGAGTGCTCTAAAGGCACAGACTTTATAGAATGCTTTTGCCTGGAATGGCCACCTGGTTACTGCTCTGTCATCCTCACCTGGCATTGGAGGGCACAAATGAGAAAATGAGATGGTGCTTGGCAACCGGGCGTGTGCTATGAGTGCAAGGTGGGGTCTTCACCGTCATTGCTACAGTGGCCTGCGGGGACCCAGCCAGGGAAGCAGGCCCACCCCAGCTCCTCCCACTTCCTCCAGCGAGAGGACCTGGGAGCTGTGGGGAAGTGGGAAGAGGGAAGAGGCAGGGCTGCAGCGTGGTCATGTGCCATGTGCTGGCACCAAAGCATCATTCACAAGGAGGAGAGATGCCTCGTGGAGTCGTGGTGGTAACTAAATCATGAATAAAGGCTCCTGGTGACTGGTAATAACAGAGGAGGGCAAGCTGTTATTAAGACTGCTCTGGGAATTATAAATAACAGAGAAAAGTGAAGTTGTTTATAATCTGGTAAGGGACAGGCTGGCCACACATCTGCACATAAAGTAATCAGTAAATTAGGGGTGGCGTGCTGGACCATCAACTTCTCCACCAGGCCCCGCTTCCTGCCCAGGAGCCGTGGTGTGGGCTCAGACCTCTGCAGGGCACCAGTGGACGCTCCGGCCCCTGACAGTCCTTGAGGTCCTGAGAGTGGAGGCACGGGAAGCTCTCCATACACAGGGGGCCACAGCCCGCCCAAGCAGCCCCTAGGGCCCCAAGCACCACGACCCTCTGGCCCCCTGCTGCCTTGTCCTCCCCACTGCACCCAGTCTGCCCACTCCCTGTCCTGCTCTGTTCTTCACAGGCACCCCACCCCCCACAAATCTCTTGCGGGTCTGATTCCATCCCGGCATCAGCCTCCTGAGGACCTGAACTGACAGAAGGCTTGTGACCACGCCACCATACTACCCCCACTGACTTGCTCTGTGACTTGAGCAAAATCAGTCACCTCCCTAGGCCTCAGTTTCCCCATCTGAAAATGAGGGGATTGGATTAGATGACCTCAAGGCCCCTCACAGCACTGACATTTGGGGATTCTGCTTCTCCACCAGGAAGGACACCCTGGCTGACTGCCCTCTGACCACCCCGTGAGCTCCCTGGAAGAGGGTTACTGACCTTCTGCAGCAAGAGGGAGCCCGAATATTTGGTCACGGTGTTATACAGGTCCCTGCCAAAGGTGTCTGCCCACAACTTCACTCTGCCAGGCAATGAAAGTACATGTGTATACACACACACACACACACACGCATAGATGCATACAGATGCATGCACACACACAGCAAGGGTCTACACGTAGACACCCACTGATGCATGCACACGTGAACACACAGAGACACACAGTACATACAGAAGTTCACGCATACGTACATGGGCGCACATACACACGTGCACACTAAAGTACGCTCAGCAACATACACACAAAGAGCTTCTGTCCAAATCCAACTTTGCCAGGGCAGAAGACCCAGAGAACACCCTAGGGGCTCAGCCACTGCACTGGTGTGTGGTGAACACCCTTGGCTGGGGCTCCTGCTAAAGGTCATGGGCAGGGCTAATGTGCCCAGAACTGAGCCTGACCCCAAACCCCAAGGGCTCTGGTTGGAGAGTGGAGGACGGAGAAGGAGGGGAAGAAGTGGTGGACAGGTCCAGGCCAGGACAAGGATGAAACAGGGACTCCAGTGTTTCAAGGTTGCTGGGAACCACTGAACCCTCTGCTGAATGCTCAGAGACGGCACAGGCAAGGGGTGGGAGGAAAAGGCTCTGTGCTGCCTCTGCTGAGGCTGAGGACAGGGCAGGCCGGGACAGTAAGGGGAGGTCACACCGCAGCCTGGGTGTAGGCAGCCTGGCGGGGACAGCCCGGCCCCATCTCTACCCAAAAGTGCAGTGGTCCTGCCATCTGCGGCAGGCTCACAGGGCCTGAGGGAGGGCACACAGGACCGTGTCTGAGCCCCTCCAGACAGAGCAAGAGTAGTTTGCCTGAATGATCATTTTAAGATCAGCATTCACTCAGTCACTCCACCAGTATTTATTGAGGTCCTACTGTGTGCCCAGCATTGTGCACAGCCTGGAGCCACATCACAGTCCTCACCTTTGCAAAACCTTCAGTTAGAGGGACACCCTTCACACGCAGATAACATAACATGTGTTTGAAGGGGCACCAGTGAAGCTTGGGGAGGGCTAGTGGTGGTGAGGGAAGGCTTCCTGGCGGAGGTGGGGCCTGAGTGTTGAAAGTTTGGTGGAGGTTAGCCAAGCAAAGAGATTTGGAAGAGGAGTTCTAGGGAGAGAGTACAGAAGAGCTGAGAGGACTCAAAAATGACTTCCAGGTTTCCAGCGTGGTTTCTGAGCTGATGGTGGTGCTACTAAATAAAATTAGGAATATCAGGACGGTCAGAGGGAGCAGGTTGGGGAGGGTGGAAAGCGAATACAGCCTGGGCTATGCTGAATGTGAGGTTCCCATTGCAGGGCTACTGAGTGATGCTGGCCAGGTTGTGCGCTGCACAATTCTAGAAGACATCAATCACATTGTACGTTGACAGACACAAATTTAATTTAAAACCTCACATGATGCTCAGGAAGTGGCGTCCATAGGCTTTGGGGTATGTGAGTCTAAGACCGAGCTGGGAGTCATTAGAAATGGGTAGGAATTGAAATTCTGCAGGTAGGTGGAGTCTCAGGGAGAGTGCAGTCTGTGGGCGATGACAAACTGGGACACCAGCAATTCAGGGCAGGCAGAGGGAGGGGCCCGAGGAGGACCAGCAGAACACGGCCAGCCGGGATTCAAGAAGAAGGGAGCAGCTGGTGTCCAGAGCAACATGGCCCCTGGAGGCGAGGCCAGCAGTGTCTACCGGATTGGGCGACGAGGAGGTCTTTGGCCGTCTTGTCGAGAACAGATTTGGGAGGCCGTGGAGGCCCAGGCAGGTGGTGGAGGCTGAGCCCTGATGGGGACGCGAGCAGCCTGACTTGAGAGGGGTCTGTGGTCTTCGGGGTGGGAGAGACTGAGAAGATGGGTTCAGTAGGAGGGAGACAGCGCAGACACAGGGGAGAGGAGGCGTGGGCCGAGGGCGCGGGCGGGGGAGGACTGTCTGCTCCACGAGATCGGGATCCCAGCCACCCTCCCCTGGCCCTCGGCCTGTTCCTGGAGCTTGCCTTCTACTATTGGTTGCAGTGTGCTCTGGGGATAAAAGCTGTTCTCCAAAGCTGTTGAACGGATGTCACAGTGACAGTACAGGCCAGGCTGACTGGAGCTCAGGTACTGGCACTTTCACTTACTAATGACCTGGTGAACGCAGGGAGCATTTAGTGACCTCTCTGAGCCTCTGTTTCCTCAACTGAAAAACAGGGGTATTAGCCACCTCACTGAACTGCTGTGCAGACTGAATACGCCATTTGGGAAGCAGCCGGCACGGAGCCAGGAGCGGAGCGAGTGGGGCTCACAGCCCGATGGGAAGCCACGCGGCCCAAGGCCACTGCCCACGTGGCTGAGCACAGCAGCGTGCATCAGTGGGGCCCTCCTGTCCCCACCTGTGTTGAGACACGCAGCTGGCAGTGGCTCTGTGGTAGCCTGACTGTCACGCTGGACCTGGGTTTGCACCGAGTGGGCAGTACCCACAGCCCCCAGTGCTCCGCTACCCCGTGTATTGGACATTTCTGTCCATCAAACAGGCCAGAGAGGCTGCCCAGTCATTGAACTTGATGCCAAGGTGGGACTGATACCAGAGTCTTCCCTGGAGCTGGTCTTGGTGGCAGGGTGTAGGATCAAGGTCTGGAAGGAGGCAGAGAGGTATGGAAAGGGAAGACTGGGGCCACCAAAATCCAACTTTGCCTAGTTTCTGGACAAACCACCTCCTGTTTGCATGAGTCATTCTGTCAGTTTAGAACTGCTTTACCCTTTCAGGATGTAAAAATACAAATTTCCTCACAGATCTCTGGGGAGCCACAGTGACCACTTCCAGAGACAACACAGCCCCTCCAAGCTGCCTCTGCCCAGCAGTGACCTGGGAAGAGCATCTGCCTGCAGGCGCTCTCTGGGGACCACTGGGAGCAGGAGCCCCGCTGGTCAGTTCTGCTCAAGGGGGTCAGATTTCTGCACAGGGCAGAGCTTTTGGAGGGAGAGGCTGCTGGTGAAGAAAAGGTCATCAGGGCAAGAGCACGGGCAGTCACAGCCCTCAGGGAGGAGCCCAGAGGCAGGTCCCAGGTGGAGGAGG